GACTTAGAATTACTAAGTCAAGGCGCTACTAACTACACCACAGAAGGTTAAAAGGAATCAGACCTTATAGCTTATATCTGCTATACTTAGGAATGAACGCATTCTATCTGAATGCCACTATGTTCATATTACAGATTCCCCAACCTCAATCGTGGTTTTATTTTCGCATTAAATTCAACTCCCAATCTCAGTCGGGCCCAACAATAACCAAATAAGCATATTACATATGTGAAAGTATGAATAATTTTTTACCCCGACCGGGACTAGAACCTAGGATTTAGAATTGCTAAGTCAAGGCGCTACCAACTACACCACAGAAGGTTAAAAGGAATCAGACCTTATAGCTTATATCTGCTATACTTAGGAATTAATGCATTCTATCTGAATGCCACTATGTTCATATTACAGATTCCCCAACCTCACTCGTGGCTTCATTTTCGGATTTAATTCAACTCCCAATCTCATTCGGGCCCAACAATAACCACATAAGCACATTACATATGAAAACATGAATCATTTTTTACCTCGACCGGGACTTGAACCTAGGACTTAGAATTGCTATTTCAAGGCGCTACCAACTACACCACAGAAGGTTAAAAGGAATCAGACCTTATAGCTTATATCTGCTATACTTAGGAATGAACACATTCTATATGAATGCCACTATGTTCATATTACAGATTCCCCAACCTCACTCATGGATTCATTTTCGCATTTAATTCAACTCCCAATCTCATTCGGGCCCAACAATAACCAAATAAGCACATTACATATGAAAACATAAATAATTTTTTACCCCGAACAGGACTTGACCCTAGGATTTAGAATTGCTAACTCAAGGCGCTACCAAGTACACCACAGAAGGTTAACAGGAATCAGACTTCTATAGCTTATAACTGCTATTCTTAGGAATGAAGGCATTCTATCTGAATGCCACTATGTTCATATTACAGATTCCCCAAACTCACTCGTGGCTTTATTTTCGCACTGAATTCCACTCCATCTCATTTGGGGCCAACAATATCCAAATAAGCACATTACATATGTGAAAACATTAATCATTTTTTATCCCAACTGGGACTTGAACCTAGGACTTCTTAAGTCAAGGTGCTACCAACTACACCACAGAAGGTTAAAAGGAACAGACCTTATTACTTATATCTGCTATACTTAAGAATGAACACATTTTATATGAATGGCAAAATGTTCATATTATAGATTCCCCAACCACACTTGTGGCTTCATTTTTGCATTTAATTCATCTCCCAATCTCATTCGGGCCCAACAATAACCAAATAAGCACATTACATATGTGAAAACATGAATAATTTTTTACCCTAACTGGGACTTGAATCTAGGACATAGAATTGCTAAGCCAAGGTGCTACCAACTACACCACAGAAGGCTAAAAGGAATCAGACCTTATAGCTTATATCAGCTATACTTAGGAATGAATGCATTTTATCTGAATGCCACTATGTTCATATTACAGATTCCCCAACCTCACTCGTGGCTTCATTTTGAGATTTAATTCAAATCCCAATCTCATTCGGGCCCAACTATAAAAAGATATGCACATTACATATCTGAAAACATGAACCATTTTTTACCCTGACCGGGACTTGACCCTAGGACTTAAAATTGCTAAGTCAAGGTGCTACCAACTACACAACAGGAGGTTAAGAGGAGTCAGACCATATAGCATATATCTGCTATACTTAGGAATGAATGCATTCTATCTGAATGCCACTATGTTCATATTACAGATTCCCCAACCTCGCTCGTAGCTTCATTTTCGCATTTAATTCAACTCCCAATCTCATTCGGGCCCAACAATAAGCAAATAAGCACATTACATATGTGAAAACATGAATCAATTTTGCCCCGACAGGAACTTGAACCTAGGACTTAGAATTGCTAAGTCAAGGCACTACCAACTACACCACAGAAGGTTAAAAGGAATCAGACCTTATAGCTTATATCTGCTATATTAGGAATGAATGCATTCTATCTGAATGCCACTATGTTCATATTACAGATTCCCCAACCTCACTCGTGGCTTAATTTTCGCATTTAATTCAACTCCCAATCTCATTCGGGCCCAATAATAAGCAAATAAGCACATTACATATGTGAAAACATGAATAATTTTTTACCCTCACCGGGCCTTGAACCTAGAACTTAGAATTGCTAAGTCATGGTGCTACCAACTACACCACAGAAGGTTAAAAGGAATCAGACCTTATAGCTATATCTGCTATACTTAGGAATGAACGCATTCTATCTGAATGCCATTATGATCATATTACAGATTCCCCAACTTCGCTCGTGGCTTAATTTTCGCATTTAATTCAACTCCCAATCTCATTCGGGCCCAACAATAAGCAAATAAGCACATTATATATGTGAAAACATGAATCAATTTTACCCCGACCGGGACTTGAACCTACGACTTAGAATTGCTAAGTCAAGGTGCTACCAACTACACCACAGAAGGGTA